TTTTGATGTATTTTTTTGTTTAATTTTTTTTACAAGTATAGTTGATATACACTTTTTTCAGTTAAATAAATATATAAATGATAATTAAATCTTTAATTAAAAAAAAGTTAAAAAAACAAGTGTTATTTCGTGTGAGAGAAAAATAAAAGCTATTCCTACTTCATATCAAATTAGGAGAATTGATGTTATATATACGAATTATTTCAGAATGTTTAAAATTAAAATACTTGTTGTGGTGTTTGCTAAATGCACAGGACTTCTTTTAATTATTTTAATTTTAGTTTGTTTCTACTCAATTAGTTAAAAGTACAACTTATAAACTGATCACAAGAAATTCCTTCAACGTCAAGATTTAAGTTTAAGACTAATTGCGAAAAAAGTTATCATTGTTCATTTATATGTAGAGTTTCTTCTAGTGTCTTATTATAAACTTGAGTTGCAAATAACAAATTTTTTTAAAAAAAATCCGACTAATTTGCTTTAATAAACCGATTCCAAAGATCAACTAAATCTTAATGGATTGATGAGAAATGAAGTAATGCCATGCCAATCTTGCAATTAATTTCCCGAACATATGTACGACTACCATCGATCTTTCCAACTTGTACAATAAAAGAACAAATTGACAAATTGATAACACAACTTGATAGTAATTTTTATTAAATCTTTAATTTCACTCATTTGATAATAATAAATTGACATTTGTTGATAATGATTCTATAGTGCAACAGGATAGATGAATCGATTTGTATTATCTTGCTTGAAAATACATGTAATTTTTATCAACAAATATTTTCAGTAAAGCATTATTAATAAAATAAAGCATTTTTTTAATTAGAAAATTTTTTATTAATGAGATATATTAGGCAAACCCACACATTACAAACGAAATATAAAATACCTTCAATCTATATAGCAAGCCATATAGATTTTACTTGAATTTAAATGGAGTCCTAGGAGCTCCTTCATAGAGTAACAGGATCCACCAGTAGCAATACAATATGTTCCTTCAAAATGTGAGAGTCTGTGTAGCCATCACTGTCCTTGTATATGACAACCATTGCACGAGAAAAATTTAAAACTCGGTTGAGCATAGGCATTGGAAGGACTGTTGATTTCATTAACCCTTTGTTAATATCTTTCCATGCATTCGAAACTTCTTCCCGAAACACCTTTACAATCACTTCCTTTGAAACACCATATTGCTTCCTATAGCATTCAATAGATGATGCAACATGATATTGTCTTTGGTCAAACTGCAATTGGTTGGCAAAGGAATTAGTTGTTGGAACATGTACTAGAGTTAATTAACCCCATAATTTAAATTTGTAATTAATGGTATAGGTGGAGGACGTGTCAGATTTAGGAGCTTTCATCTTTTTAGTTGTAGCTTGGTTTCTTTGGTACTGGAGGAATATGAAGGTGTTTGGGACAAATATGATGTTTGAGGTGATGTTGTTGAAGTCCATACAGACTAAATCCTTTTTATGGTTAAAAAATAAAGAGACAGGTTGTATATTCACTTATCAAAATTGGATATCAATGCCTATGGAATGTAGAGATGCCATTGTTCAATATTGCCAAAATTTGAGAAGCAACAAGTTGATAACTATGGTCATGTGCTGATTTTGTTCTTTTTTCCCTTGAGTTTCAATGAGTACTATTTGTTCTCTTTATGAGCTTGTAACATGACAGTATTTGAACTTTGGTGTTATAGAGTTGTATTTTGCTATGGAGTATTCCTTATACTCCTTTAATAATATATTTTTCAGTTGGTTTAATTTGCTGATAAAAAAAAATGTTCTATGCATACCTCATGCAAGAAAATATCATCCATGAATCTACAAATAATTGTGAAAGCTTTAGTCATTTTAGGGTTGTTAGAGATCCAATCAAAGGTCTCCTTGGTTGCAACTTCTCCCATGCCAACAAAGGAACTTGTTATGAGCATTGCATAACCAGTAGAAATGCGGGCAACCGGCGTGTACGAATGTAGCCTTCTTGGCGCCACTTGGCTTCTTGAAGGTAAGCTTTCATTGTTTTCTTCATCTATTCATGAAGTTAAGTTACATACATGAAAATATCAAAGAATATATCCAAAATCCACAAGACATAAATTAAAGTATTTATATGCCAATTAGTTACTTACTGACTCTTTCACATAATCCATAGCATATGATCTTCCTTTTTTTGCAACTTCTAGCTCCATATCACTATAAATATCTAATAGTGCTTGATAAAACCAATTTCATATATTTTGAAAGTTGATCTATGACACTAATGTACCACTAAAAGTCAGGAGATCAAAATTATGAATATTAATTTTGAAATGTATGAACATATTCCAATAATTTGACTAAAATAGTTGAGTTTAGAGCTAAGAAACTAACCTTTCAATACACTTGGTTAATAGTTTGAGTTCTTCATTCGTCCCATATCATATGTATCATCCAAAATGGATGTAATGGCTATTACTTTAGTTGTAAATGTCCTTGCTAGGGAGTATTTGGGTTCAAAGTAAGCTCCCATGATCCAAAAATAGCATTCCACAACTCTGTCCCTTGCATATGGCGATTTTGTTGCAAAATCCAATTTTTTTCCACCACCTGAAAACCAAGCCAAATTTGTAGCCTAAGATAATAAATCACCACCATTATAAGTTTACTAAACAAAAAAACAACGAAATATCGAACTTACTCAGTAATTCCATTGAGCTCTTTTAGATGGAATGCTTGTACCATGTTGAAATCTATCTTTGCAAATCTAAGTAGTGCTCCATTAGAGGAAGCAAAATGGTTGTCTCTAGAGTACAAAGAGATGTGATGCCTTGCTTCAATTCTTGGTAAGCCTTTTCAAATGGGGCGGTTCAGGGCATGGGCTATTTGTTCTGCAAGCAAAGGGTTTACTTTTGTTGCTGTTGATTCAAGGTGAGAGGTAGTGAAAGCAATAGCTTCATCCAAGATACCTTCTCTAGGAAGGTGAAGATGTGCAGCCTCATATAGATTCAACATTCCAAGCACATCATTTACTAAATCTTCCTTGAATTTCCCCCTTTCATCCATGAATTTCTTGAATAGCTCTGCATTAATATATAACAAGAACACCATGAGTGCAGCTAACTAAAAAATTAACCCAAATCATGATTCATAAACACAATCTTTCGTTAAATATTCAAACATTTTTTGGACATTAAGAAAAAGGACTAGCCAGATGGAATTCTGATTCCATGTTGTCTAAGTAATTGGAACCAGAAAGCAATTGTTTGAAGATCAGATTTAACATGATCAACACCACCCACACCACCCAGATATATCGTCTCTAAGGCATTGTCAATTTCTGTTTCAAAATGATAAGCAATGTCTAAGCGTTGGATAGCATCAATTAAATGCAATTTCTTTGAAGGATCGATGGTGATTGTATCAACCAGCATCCTCATTACTTGTTGCTTCAGTTCTTCATATTCTTCATGTGTTTTGGGATCATGAATTTTCTGCAAAACCCTTCCAAAATGAAACATTAAATATATGATGATACAGACATGACAAAGACACTCAACTTTCGAAACCAAATTAGGCAGGGTATGATGAAAACTCAAAATGCAAAACTGAATTATGTAAGGAATACTCGAATATAGAAATAAATTGGAGGAGTATGAAACACCGTATAATTGGAAGAATGTTGGAGGAACAATCCTTCCAAACGCTGGGTGATAACCAGACGTGGGACGATGGGCATTTTTGCAGGGTGTACTTTTCGGTGGGGTGGGAAGGGCCAAGGGTAGAGCTGACATTGTTCTTGTATATGTATGAGAGGGGGAATATATAGCTACTTGAAGGCTTTTGTGCAGCAAAGAGGCAGAGGGCTTTGGTAATTATTGCCTTATAGGGATTTAGTATGTTGTCCGTACATATGACACAGAAGTCAATTAATAGAATGCACCGGGCCTCGGTGAACCCAATGACTTGGCGTTGGCCATAGTTTTAATAATGGTACTGTCATACTAAAATTTCTTATCCGTTACCTTACATTTGTAGCTGTTTAGAGAGAAAAAAAAAAAGAGTACAAGTAATATATGTAAGGTTTAAAATTAATGCTTTGTTTGGGAGTAGTGTTATATTGGACTAGGTTATGTTGGGTTGTGATGGTATATATAATAGGCTTTTTCGTTTTTTATAATCTAAAAAGTATATATAATCTAAAAAGTATATATAATGTTAATTAAAATTAGTAAAAATATATAGAATTTTATTAAAATTAATTAAGAATATATAATAAATTTATATTTTTTGGTAACATGCCGTGTGAAAAAGATTTATATAAAGCATTTCTAAATAAAGCCTGAATTATCCTATGAGGGAAAAAGACTTTAGAATAAACTTGATAAAATTGGATCCAAGCCAACTCACTTCCCTTTGATCAGGTCTTTGGTTTATAATCTTGACCTGACACCTGAAATAACTTGACAAAAATAAATTAATTTTTTCAAATTTAAAATGTTAATTAAATATAAATATAAATATAAATTTTAAACAAAAATTAAAAATATAAAATCAATAAAATTATTAGATTATTAGATCTAACTTTAGTTTAATACTTTTTTTGCGAATTAACTCATTGATATTAGATTTTTTATGAAAAATGTAAAAAAATTAAAAATATTTTGATTTTAATTATACTTTTTACCTGACACCTGAAATAACTTGACAAAAATAAATTAATTTTTTTAAATTTAAAATGTTAATTAAATATAAATATAAATATAAATTTTAAACAAAAATGAAAAATATAAAATCAATAAAATTATTAGATTATTAGATCTAACTTTAGTTTAATACTTTTTTTGCGAATTAACTCATTGATATTAGATTTTTTATGAAAATGTAAAAAAATTAAAAATATTTTGATTTTAATTATACTTTTTTAATAAGTCGAGTTGGCTGCAATCAAACTTGATCAGACTCGTGAATATAAGTTATGTTCTACGCTTGTAATCTGAAACTCAAAATGACCTAATTGGATGACTCAAAATAAAAAATTACTTAGGCCAAACTGAGATGCACTCAACCTGACTGCTAGGTAGACTTGGCAAAGAGGTTGGATTCGGTAGGTTTGGATTGACTCATTTTGGGTGTCGGGTTACTGAGATTGACCCATGACCCATCCACACAGGTCTCGAATTGAGTGAGTGGACCCAACTTTTAAAAAATTAATTTTTTTTTATATTTTTCTCTATTTTTCTCTATTTTTCTTTAACAAAATCTAATACTAATTAACTATTTAGTCAAAAAACTTTATTACTAATTAACTATTTAGTTAGAAAACTTTATTAAACATTAATTTCCATTTTATAATTCTATTTTTTTCCAATCTCAAGAAAAGAAAAAGAAAAGATTAGTGATTATATAGGTGGAACTAAAATATATGTCAAATAAATAATACCTATACAATATTTAGAATTCATAATTTCATAAAAGATATTAATCTTCATTAAAAAAAAAGACATGAAGGATTATAGTTCAAAAGACAAATCCAATATATATATTGATATATAGTGCTTATTCAATATTTATAAGAGTATTATATAAAAAATATAGTTTTATTCAATATTTAGGAGGGCATTATATAAAAAATATAGCCATATTCAATATTAAAATTTAAACGGCAAATCCAAAATATGTCTAATCAAATGGAAAATGATGTGTTCACACCCGGGTGTTGGATCTGGGTGTGCACCAATCACGGTCCCTAACCAAATACAAGAATAAATTGGATCGGAATTGATTTCTATTAATTAGGGACAAATTATTAATTAAGAATAAATTAGCAACTAAGAACGAACTTTGATTTTCTTGATATTCTTATCTTTGTATTTTTAACGGTTACGAGGGTATCTCAACCATTGGGTTTTGATTTTTAGTAGGCATTCTTACTTTTTATTTTTTAAAAAAATGATCTTTTTTACGATGTCATATAACATAACTCACCATGTGCTACCTAATCTAATTTTTGATGCAAATGCCACCAAAGAAAAGGATTAGAGAGCCTGAGGTGAAAAAGGGGAGAACGAGAGTAGAGAAAAGGAAAAGTTGAGAGAATGTAAAATTGATTAGAGGTTAGGATTTTAGTATTTTATTTATTTTTACTTTTAGAATTAGGAAATTAGAAATTTAACATTAATGTTTAAGTAATCTAATAAAAATGAATAAAAAAAGTTCAGGTCATTTTGGGTGATCCGACTCACCCATGATCCAATCCATTTGGATTCAGATAATTTCAGTTTGGATTATTTTCAATTTTAGATTAACACATAAGACCCATGACCCTACACATAACAGATGAATTTGATCAGATTTTTGGATTGGGTCCAATTTTACCAGGCCTACTGCTAGGTCTACTCTTGATTGAATCACCTACATCCCATGCGGCGCTCATCACATTGCCAAACCCTTTTGAAGGTCCGCTCAAGTGCTGCCACATTAAATAATTAAAATTAAGGGAGCCATAGAACTAAAGTAGAATAAAATATTTATCTTTTTTAAAATATGAAAAACCAACGACTAATATTGAATAATTCCGATAAAAAATTTACACATGAAGTAGAAATAATTTCGAATGCCCTATACCAGAAGAAAAAACATTTTTATGATTTTATTTTCCAATTAAAAATTTAAGAACAATTTATATTTTCTTATTTTATCCTTAAAAAAGAAAAAAATTAAAGATACTTTTTTATGACAGAATAAATAAAGTAAGAAAAAAATTATTTCCCTAAAATATAAAAAAACAACTATCATTCTAAGAGAAAATCTAAATAAAAAGGATAATGATTTACATACTTTTCAATTTAACATATTTTACAATATATTTATTAAAAACAATTTTCATCTAAAAATTTAAATAGTTAAATTGATGACAGTTAATAAATATATTAAACCAAAAAGTGTACTAATTAATTTTTAAATAAAAAAATCTCTATTATTTTAGAGCATATGATATAGAAATATATGAGCCGATCAAATCCTTACTAGTCACATTCTCCTGTTGTGATCCATTGATGGTCACTGCAACCAAGAGGGTTGCCGGTGAATTTCACTCCTGATCAGTAGTGAAATCTTGTCAAGAGTATGTATTAATTTAACTTCTAACTTCTAACCATTTTCCTTATAAATATATATATATATATATATATATATATATCCTTACTAGTCATAATTAACCCACGTACAAAGGTCCTGTTCTTAGAGTAGAAAACGGAAAATTTTTTTTGTGTACCTAATGATAAATTATACAATAA